AATTCGACTGATTTTCTTCTAAGAGAAATGGCGACAGTAAATGAATCAAATATATGTTCAATTTGCAACAAACCTTCAGTTAAATACTTTTGCATTGGATGTAAAAAATATTTTTGTCCAAAGGATTTCAAAGAACATGAACAAGAACTATCAATAAAATTCGATAATGAAATAGTTAGATCTCACGATGAACTTCTTGATCAAATACAAAAGTTAGAAAAATCGAATTATTTTTCATTGGATCTTTTTGATCAAATTGAAGAATGGAAAAAAATAATAATAAACAAAATAGAGAAAGTAGCAGAAAGAGCTCATCATGAACTTATCCAATTAATTGATAAACAAAGAATAAAAATAACAAAACAACTTGAACCAATCACAAAAGAAATTCGTTATCTTCAAGAGGAAGAAAATTTTCTTGAAAATGATATTGATCGACTTAAAGAAAAACTTGAGGAAATCCAAAAAACACTTGAACAATTTATTCAAAAAGATACAAATAATACCATCATTATTTACAATGATCAAGTTGATTGGAATCGACTAATCTACATTCAAGAAGAACAACAAAACTGTAAGTAAACTGAACTAAAGCTATAGAAGAAAAGAAATTTTCCGATAAATCAATCAAAAATTTTTTGTGTCATTAATCAATCTAAAACAGGTCATTCATAGATTAGAATTATTTAAAAAGACACATCGTATTCAAGAAAAGAGAATAAAATGTCATTTAACTTTTAGAAATTTCATGTCGAATTCTCATAAAACCTGTTTCTAGAAAGTAACATATAATAGTCATTAGAATAGGATTGATTTTATTTTAGGAAAGAGTTTTACTATTGAACATTTGAGCTAATGAGACTCCTACAGTGCATATTAAAGTTCATATTTATTCTTTACTAAAGATTCAATAGAAAAATGATCTAAGATTGATTTTGATAATTCATCGATCTGAACAGTATTTGATCTATTTTGAGATTTTCGGCATTTCAAAAACTCGAATGATTTAATAAAGTGCTTGATCTTTTTTTGTTTTCTATATTAAAATCTATTCTGATAGAAATTTTTCTTCTACAAAAAAGTGACAAAACTTTGATGAAAATCAAAATATTTTCAAGTTCTAGTTATTCATACATTTCACTTTTGGCAACGAGAAGAACATTTGACTTCATTCATTTGAAATCATGATCTCCAAATTGTGAATATTTTATCTAAAATCTGAATAAGTAAGTGCATCATTGAATTCAACGAGTAGCAATTGTTTTCTAAAGCATATTCCAGAAGATTTCAAAAAAGTCTAGATGATTTGCATTTAATATCATATTCTTTGAATTTTCATTCTTTTTAAAAATAATTTCATTAACGATTTATTGAATGACGAATAAATTCAACATTTCTATGAGAATCAAATGTTGGAGTTACTACAATTCTTTATTCAATAGCAAGAATATTTTCTTATGGAATAGTGAAATCTTTAGAACCAGTTGAGACAATGTTCAAATATCTGGATTGAATAGTGTTCAGTATATTTCTCGGCAAAGTTTAACAAATCTTCTAAGAGTCTAATTACATCGACACCATAATACTATTTTCTGTGGTATTTGACTAAGTTCGACTGATTATTTATCGAATTTTATTTACGCAAGGAAATGAAAATATTTTTATTCGAAATTCGAATCCAATACAAAAATAAGTTTAATAACAAATTATTTTTAACTAGCATTGAAAGTATGAATAGAGTGATGCTATAGAATCATTTGCCCCTTGGAAGAAAAACTATTTTTTTTAATAGTTTCACTGCTGACATTCCGTCCGATCTTAGAACTTTGTACGCTACACAATATTACTCCGAAACTTCACTGACAAAGGAAGGTTCCCATATGTGAATATCAATTTTGAATGGGATATATACCAATGTTTAGAACTCGACGTGGTGATTCTCGTAATATATTACAGTTTCCCCCACAGAACTTTAAATGAGATAAACTGATTGATTTTACTAGTGAATTTCTTCACTGTGGATAAGTTTCGAGACAGTTGTTGGAAGTTTGAGACTTGAAAAGTATTTACTTAGGGCGTACCAAAAGTTCGTGTCTCGCCATTTAAAGGGCCTTGCCGGATGGGGTACATCGGTTCAGAAATAAGAAACAAATATATCATATTGTAGACCTTTTCGAGCCGCATCGAATGGTATATAGTAAATCCTGTTTTCATAGAACTTT